CAGATGAAGCGTTTCTCAAACGCACGGTCGGCTTTAGCGCAGTCAGCAGACCCGATGGGACCACGGGGAAGGCAAATGGTAAATGAGCCCCCCCACCCCACCCTAAAGAAACCCCCCACCCCAGCATACATGGGAAGGGGGGGCATCCGCGTCTGTGAGAAAAGGGAGTCTTCGCTGCCTTAAGGGAGGAAGGGAAAGCAAGTTATACGGGAGGACAGTTTTGCCACAATTCATCCCAGACACACATCTTCTGCCTCAAGCGACCGCCACTGTCCTTCGGGGGGCGCCACAGTCACAGGTGGGTGGGGTGTTGACTATGCTGCATGCGTCACCTGTGTCCCACGCTGTGTCATCATCGTATCCATCACACAGCGCCCCCGCCCTCAATAAGCAGGTGTTAGGCGGGCCTCCTCACGGGCCTCCGCAGTCCAAACTACCCACCGGGCTCCTTCCGGTCCAGACCACCTCGTGGCTCTGCTGGAAACACGGCTTCTGCTAAGTCACGCTCACGCGGAACGTTTTCTTAAACTCTGCGACTCCTAGCGATATCTTGTGCTAGTGTAGACTTATAGTTGTGAATTTAACTAAAGAGATGCCTACTTAATGCAAAGGACGACCAAAAACCCATGTTCGCTTTTTCCTCCCTCCTCACACGAATGCCGGTGGCGACCGACAGCCAGTCAGCACCTTTATCATTTCCGGTGGTTTAGCGGTTCCTAGATCGACGGACTTGTTTGTTTTTATGATTCCTTTACGAATCCTGTGGATCTATGCAGTTTCTCCTGTCTCCCATGGTTGCCATTCCGTCAGCTCTGTCCTCTCCCTCTACATCCCCCCCCCCCCCCCCCCCCCCCCTCCCCCCCCGGGCGCTCCCCCCCCCCCCCCCCCCCCCCCCCCCCCCCCCCCCTTAGGCGCTCATGTGTCGAACCCGTGGACGTCCGCGTCACCTGGCCCCGCCTGCCTCCTCACGTTTTTATCCTTTGAATAAAGGTTAAGATGTTTATGCGAGAATCCAGTGATTAAAACCAGTAAGACATATAAAGATATTATTATTATTATTATTATTATTATACAACAAGTATATTGTAATATGATAGAAGATTTAGTTCAGTAACTATCTTTAATTTTTTTACAAACTTTGATTAAATAATTTATAAACAATCACAGATCATGATCTTTTCAGAGTATAAGGATCACATCTACAGTTAAAATATGTTCTAATGGAAATAAATGCAAGGATGTTAAATAATAATCGGACTGTCTGGCGTGTTCATTTCTGTGAAGGGTTTGGAAAATGTGACACATGCACTGAAGATACGCAGGATGTGAAGGTGACTGCGATACATATTTGATTGTATGTAGCATTGACATTTACCTGAAGCATAAAGACCATTCAAAGAAGTCCCTCCCCCTTCCAGACGCACGAGAGATTGGCTGGGATAGAGAATGACTCAGTCAGCATGGACTCTTCACATTCAACAGAGAATTTTATTGAAGCCGTTGAATATGTAGAAGTTGCTTTTGGAGAGGATATTTCTTAAAGCGATTACTGCCTTGGGCTTATCACTGCAAATCATATCACTGCAGTCACAGACAGGAAACAGGAGGGTTCCATTTCACTGGCAGTTTGACCACTAGAGGGAACCACAACACAGTAAGTTCATATTTTTCGGGGCCATATTTTTGTGTGCAGTATTGATACACACACACAGAGAGCCAGTACTAATAGTAAAATTTGGCATACATACAACTACTGAACCATTAGTTAAGTCAAATAATTTCATCTGAAACTTTTAATTCTTATTAACAAAAACTGATTAGAAAGGTATATCCAGTTAAATTAAAGCACTGTGCAGTTATGAATCCGGTCTAAATTCAGTTTCACAAGGCTTTTCAATTTGGTTATTTCATACTGCCACCATGTGATGAGACCAGGGTACTGCAGCTCTTGGATGTGGCCTTTTTACAATGAGCTGTACAAGGGTGATGGGGACCAGGGTACACATATGACACTTAGACATAACAAAAAGTCCACTTGAGGATTGCGACTGTTGAATCATGTTAACAGAGAGGCAAAGAATATGACCTCTGACGCCTCGATTATGGCATCTTGCAGAAGAGCAAGATCGAGAGAGACAGCATGAAAGCTTCAGCACTGTCATGCATTCACATTGCCTGACAGGAACCCAGGGGACAGACGTCATGCCACAAAGTCCCACCAAACATGTCTTTTAAGCTCAGCTGAAAGGTTACTGCAAAGAGATGATGTTTACAGAACTGAATACATTAGTGGGTCAATGTTACAATGTTACTAGGGCTGTCACTATTGCCACTGTAATTAGTGCCGGTTTAACTTAAGTGAGCCAATGTCTCTCCATCTTCAGTAGTTCAAGACAAGCACAAATGAATCATCGTTCATTATATGCTCACCAAGTGCCACCTAGTGGACAGTGTTAGGACTTTTTTTTATATATATATCTTTGGAAGAATGTTTAATCTGAGTGTACATTTGTTATTAAAACTGACACAAACACAAATAGGGGAGACTGGGGGTAGGTGTTGGACAGGCTCAGTTGCTCAATGGACTTTTATCTCATTTAAAAAAAAAAAACTGAAGAAGATAATGAAGGAAAACCAATGGTATCGGTTGAAGAAATGGCACCTTTGAACTGGAAACGTGACAGAGTTCTTGCAAATGTGCGAAATTCACATCTTTCACTTTACTGTCCCCATTCAACAATTAGCTCTGGCCTCTCCTAAGTTCATCCATTTATGCAGAAAAGAGATTTAAAGGTATTTGTTGGGCAGACCAATTTCTATATCCCTGAGCAAATATCTACAGTGGCTGTCTGTGTCTCAATGGCTGATTTATATACAGTGAATCGGATCAGGCTGGTACAGGTAAATGGGAGGACAATGACACTGCATCGTACTGAAGGTACATTTCAGATCCAGGCTGTACTACGTAATTCCTGCAGGGTTCTGCCAGAAATCTGACTCAAGTGACTCAGTCAAAATTAATAAAAAGCCACGAATTGCTCAAGTAACATAACACATAATGGAAAGATCAGCATTCATTTGGAATCACTGTTATTACACTGTTACGCACGAAGACTTTTCAATGGACTCCCCTCCACAAATTTCGCGAGGGGCATTCAGAGCAATGGGGCACTTTCACTCATTGGGGCAAAAAGAGACGGGTATTAAGACTGACTGGTGGCTTCTCTGATGATTCTCTGTATTAACATCCAAACACAGGTGAGTTAAGTCTGCAGATATCATTCAGTGTCACTGTCAGACCTTCACGGTTTGCTGCAATCTGCTGGTCACAGCTGCCCCCTGCCCCCCACGTTGAGATTTAATCTCACCTCTGCCTTTTAGAAGTAAGGTGCATGAAATGGGGCTGAAAGTCCATCGAAGGACCATGAGGGGGAATTGAAGAGCAAATTTTCAAAACTCATTCAAGTTCACGGGATACCTTTTCAACAGAAATTTTGTAGGCTTAGAGAGTTTTGATAATGTAACAACATGAGGACTGCGTGACGTTTGGTTCCCAGTACTGTAACATATGATGAGGAATCCGGACTGTACGTTACTGGTGGCCTCGTCTCAAGAACAATAAAAAATGGCCTGAGTGAGTCCTGTAAATTTGCTCCTCCGCTGGGTGTGTGTGTATTGCTGTGTCACAGCCAGACCCAGTAAGGCACAATGTAGCCTGATGCACACTGCCAGTGATTCCTCTCTGCTCTCAGTGAGCCAAGACCTCCAGAGTCCAGTCTCATCTTTCCCGCTCCAGGGGGTGGGAGAGCGGCCCGGCAGACGTCCGCTGCTCCACGCCGCTCCGTCCATTCCTCACCTGCCTGACCTTTTTCCACAGGTTCCTGATTCTTGTTAGGGAGTAAAATCTGTCTTAGTGGAACAGGCTCCCCGGGCCCAGCTGGAGTTAAGGGGACAGGAGCCATTTGTCAGTGTCCACCCCCACGATTCACTGGGAGCCTGGTCAGACAGATCATGAATGTCGGCCCATCTAGCGGCGCGTCAGCGCTCTGCATAATGACAGAGAGCAGCGCTACATCCCAGGCCGCACCGTAAAGGCAGCCCCGGCTCTCCTCTGAGCGGCTTTCAGCTCCCGTGACGCTGTACTTCCTGCCGAGTTTCTCAGGAGCAGCCGCTACCACCCTGTCGCTTGCTGGGAAGTGACAGCGCACCTCAAACAGTGACTCTTCGCCCGCATCGTTTCCAGTGTTTTGCTCAGACAAAATTCATTCAATCAAACCCCCCATGATGCCACCTGTTGCCCCCTCCCACCCCCCAGGCTTCTCCAGTTACCCCCCAAATCGTGGACCACTCTACAGGTCTGGCATTAGAAACTCGCTTCTGCCCCTTTAACTGGCTGGTTTCTGGTCGTTCCCAGTGTCTCCTGCTTCACCTTGTTCTTGTCTACTGCTGTCTCAGAAACTTTGAGCCTGGAAGCAGGCTGCCTCACAGTGTAAACTTAAGAGCCAGGATTAAACCCGGATTTAACAATGCAGATTTTTTTTTTTTAAATATGGAATGGTCTCTTAATTTTTTTCTGGGCTATACATATTTATACCCACAGGCTGATGAAATATATATAAAAGATTTTTTTGCATCAGATGTTTATATAAAAAGCATTTTGGATGATTTATGTCCATTTGCACTGTATGTATAACAGATTAACTGGACCATGCCATATGATCTTATTTTGTTATTTTAAGTTTATATCTTAGGCAGACAATCTCAGAAATGGCTTTAGTCAACAGTCATAAAGTAAGCAAACCCTGAAAAGTTTCCCTGAATATCCATCCAGCTCAGCTAGTTCCTCTGACCAGGGAAATACCTCCTCCTGATTGGGTGACGGGCTGGGCTAACAGAGCTAACCGAGTTAGCTGGTCTATAGCCAGGCTGTCGCTGTCTAACATGGGGGTCCCCAACAATTGTTGCTGCGGTTATTTAGTTTATGTAACGGGTTGATGGTAAAACCTAAAGTCAGCAGCGCTTAAATCATATAAAAAATCACGTACCGGTAAAACTGCCAGATGGAACATTCTCACGATTTAAAATGATTTTAACCAAGGTTTGTCAGCGTTTGGACTCGTTAGCTGACTATGTGATAAGCTATTAGGTTAGCTTTTTTTTTTTTTTTTTTTTAGCAAAAGTGAGTAGCTAAGGGTCAATGTTGAGAGGCTTATACTATAATTAAATAACAAATGTTATTTTCTCACATGTCTTATTGAAGGTATTTAGCTTACTCCATAGCACATGCAACGTATCCGAACACAAGAGGAAGTGCCACTGAACGGGTTGGTGAACAAATCGGAACGAATCAAACGATCTGTAGCCCAGAAAAAGAGTTTCGCCCAACACTAGTGAAAATATTTGTATCAAAATTTAAACTAGTAAAAGTGGGTTTCGCCACTGTTCTTCCTGACCATTATCGTAAAGCAGTTCCACACATCACCAGTAGAGGACACTGCACGCCTTTGCTTTGTGCTGTATGCGCGTGTCCAGGGATGGCCTCCTGAGTTTGTACTTAAGTGAGTTTGTACTTAAGCTTAAGGCCAGGATTTAAGCACTATCACCACAGAACAATGCTGGGTCTTTGTCCAACAGAACATGTATTTGGACGCTTCACAGTCCCCTTGTTATTCTAGCAAATCGGATTATCTTTTATTTTCCTGAATAACAATTTTAGTCCACTGTGGCTAGTGGGTCCGCCTGTAACAAGGACTGAAGTATTTTGTCAAAAGACCTGTGGTTGTTTTCTCTGGGGTTTCAGAACCTACGGGTCCCAGGTATTACAGCTTGTCTGCTGTTGCGGAGACTGCCAGTAGGGGCTAATATTCCCTCCCACATCATTCAGGACAAACACATAAGACTATCCTGAGGCAGAGAGGCTATTCTCCAATGCGACTCACCTTGGATCCATTTCAGGTGATGTATTCATGACGAAAGCAGGACATTTCACTGAGGTATGTTTATATAGGAGTTCCCTTATGGGAAATGAAAATTCCAACAGTTAAAAGTTCAGTCTAAAGCTGAAATCTTTGTTTGTAAGGCCTACCTGACACTTTTTCCAGCAGTGGCCTCACATAATATACAACTAACAGAAGATCTGACTTTGAACTAAGCTCCTTTTTGAACGTATCAGGCTGAATGCATAAACAACGATGGCGTTTTCCCACAAGCACACCGACCGGTCCCGTCTCTTCTTCATTGGCTCAGCTCTCCTGGATGTGTTACAGTGTTCGGCAGCTGAAACCTCACGTGAGCAGCACACACTCAGTTAAGCTTCACGTGAACAGGCGGAGGTTGGTAGGAGGACAGGTGCCAGAGTGTGAGGGCGGTTCCGCTTGGTTCTGACTCCGCTTCCCACTTTCATCATCCGACACCTTCCTCCTGGACAGAAAACTGACACTATTTATGAACATAAATCCTTTGTGAAGGCAAAGCCCTCCTGCTTCACGGAATTTGTTTTGAGATTCACACAGCACTCCGTCTACAGCCTCAGTGAGCCTCCAGGAAATGCAGAAGTAGATTTCAGCTGTGTGCTCGACACTAATTAGTTCACCAGGATCTTAAGGGTACTTTTAATGACACAGCACTGACTTCCTCAAACTTATACACTACAAAGGTAAAGGATAGAGGTGAGAGGTTGCTGCAAATTAAATTCTCTTAATAATCATCTCAGAATCACCTGAATCTTGTCACCAAAGACTGCATAATTCAATACAAATGTAACCGGCTTACAGAGGTCACTGTCAAGAGTTTCAGCAACCTTAAGGTTGGATGTTTACTGAAGCAATTGAGGTTCCACTCAAGAGCCCACCTGTTGTTTATCTTCGGGGATTTCAAGCTGAAATTGTTTCAATAGTTAGTGCATTACTTTCTGCCCCATCTACTCATTTATGAGCAGACTGAGCGGTGATGGAATAAGCATGAGACACATGCAAGGAACTGAAAATCGAGCCAAAAACCAATGAAGTTCCCATCGGCTTGTGAAATGAAGGTGTTTGCTTTTGTTGGAAGTGTTTTATCCCATCTGTTGTGGCTTGTTAGTCAGAGTCTCTGTGAGATTCATGACTAAAAAGGAAAGGAGACATATGAATATTCCGGGCTCATATCTTGTGCTGAGTGAGAAACAAAGCGTGCGTTTGTCCGTGATAATCAAGGTTAAATAGTCTTGTAATTTGAGCATGTTTGGAATACCAGGCGGTAATCTGGCAATCTGTGAGTCTCCCTTCCAATCTCACTCTCTCTCCTCTCTTCTTTTCGTAGCCTCGTGCTGAAACGGTTCCCAGTTCTTAAGTGGTTCTCAGAGCCTGACTGGAATGTTTAAATAAAACAGTCAAAGGAATATATTGAAGCTGCTTTCCGTTACATAACTCCGGATTTGTTCGAGTTTTTGGGGTATTTGGTGGCTGCTGTATCCTGGGCATTGGACACAACATCATCCCCTGTCCTTTATTAAGGCAAAACTTGCTGTATTTTGAATTCGTAGCACAATAAAATAGCTCCCAGTCGTGCTTGCTAGGTGTGAAGTACATCACCTTCATGACAAGATCCTTCTGAAACTGATCTCGACACTCCGACTCCTTGTTGCTGAAGACTGCCAAACTAGCACTGACTCTCACACACCAAGTTCACACTGGCTGCTGTTTCCATCCTGCCTAATTCTGGCTGGCTAACAGTTACCACTGAACCAAACTGCAGCTTCTGTGTAAGCCAGCGAGGAAGCAGTGCTACAAAGAGATTTAGTATATTTCACACCTTAGGCATGGATACCTGTACACTGGGGTTTTCCACTGCAGTGCTGCCTGAATTTTTGACATTCTGTTCTAATTTCCTTGCTTTCTGCAGGTGCTTGAGGGCTGTTTTCTGCTGTCACATCTCTATTCAAAGGACCCCTCTCTCTTCTGAACATTACTCACAAGCCTGCGTGAAAGAATCGGAACAAGTCCATGCTCCTTCCCTTCTACGATGTTCATTATCGGATGTCATAATTGCAAATTCGATTAGTATGCTTTGGCATCGCCTGTTCTGTTAAAAGACGTCAGTTTGAAATATCGCCTGCACATTTCATTACCAGCCTGGCAATGCGTCAGATGGAGAGCGCAAAATTTAATTTTATTTTATTGTAGAATCATTGCTTTCATATTGCTGAGGTACTGGTCTACAATCGTTCCGACAGAGGGCTCGTTTAAGGGCACCGAGCAGTGCAGGTGATGTGGTAAATACTAAAGGCTTAGATGTCTGATATAACAGCTGCTCTACGAATACACCAAATTTTTTACCCTAGTGTGTGTGTGTGTGTGTGGGGGGGGGGGGTATCAAACAACCCAGGCACTGTGGTCATTGACTTCTAACATAATGCCTGCTGTTTCATATCGCAGCCTATTACAGATAGTTATTAGGGATTCAGTGTGAATGGGAGTTCTTCCGTCCATGAATCAGAAATCCCGCTACCTGATAGTGACAGGCACCTGTTGTAATTCAGTTTGATTTAGTTTGATTCAAAATCACTTTTTCATTAAATTGCATGGCATGAGTTGAAATGATTTGAATCATGCAGTTATTCATTCATTCATACATACATTCATTTTCCATAATGGACTCTGGAGCCTATCCTAGAAACAAAGAGTGCATGACGGGGAATAGCCCAGGGTGTGGTGCCAACACATTGTAGGGCAAACACACACACACACACATGTACACACACACACACATGTACAGACACACACACATGTACACACACACACATGTACACACACACACATGTACACACACACACATGTACACACACACACATGTACACACACACACAT